TAGCCGACGGACGTGGCGGAGGGTATGTAATGCGACGGGCCCGCTCCTGGGCCCAAACCCACTCCATACCCACCGCTACCCGTGCCACCCCCGTACATACCGCTACCACCCGGATACTCTATTTTGTCGGCTATTTTGCCACTTTGATCAGGGGGTGAAAATTATATATAATTATATAAACGACAGAGTTTCAGTTCATGTAACTCGTGGTGGAGTTCAAGCGTTCATCTTGGAGATGAAATCGGAGAATGATGAAATATTTATTATCGTTCTTACACTTCTGTTCTTACAATGCAGGGTGTTCCTTGAAAATTTCAACATCCACGAGAAACAAGTAAGTTGATCGGTTGTTTTATTTCTATTATTACTGTTTTGAGATTTTGTTCAATCTATAACACATTCTTTCCTTTTCTCTCTGTTTAGTTGTTGATATTGGAATTCTGAAATAATTCTTTAAAGAATGAAATTGTTTGGAGTGTTCATTAAAATCTGTTCATCTTCTTTTTTTTTTTTTTCTTATTTACGATTTGATATAATGAGCATACGTTAAGGTAAGAATTAAATTATTCATTATTCCCAAATCGGTTCATCATCCTGTTACCTCTAATCTTAAAAAGAGATTCTACGTGGTTAAGTTTAAAATAAACTTTTCTCCATTCCCCTGGTTATCGCGAAATCTCGAACCACGGAAGATGGCTCGTAGATTGCACAGCAAGTGTCCTCGGGGATTACCTAGATCTCCTTGGTTCTACCATTTTTTTCTAAACCGATATCACTTCTGCACATCCTTCTTCTCTCATCTCGAACGAATTTTTCATATTTCTTTTACCATTTCAAATTTCTTTCCATCCAATATCACGCACAACTCTTGATATCTCTTACAGAGGGAATTTCTTATTTATATCAAGTTTCCATGATTTTATTCCATTAAATTCGATAACTAAATATTGGATTCGAAGATCGTGATAGGATTACGGGGATCGTCCATTCACGTTCCGCCGAGTTATCAAGTGTCATCCGATTCCTGAAGAGATCTACGTTCAAAAGGTCTTCGATACTTTACACCCTGAAGCAATGGAATCTTTTCGCTAGATGTCCCAGCCTTGTTATTCGTATATCTCCAGAGATCCAACGAATATTTATGGGGATGAATTGACTACAACTCGTTCACCTTTGTTCCAATTGTTTTCTCGAAATTTTCTCTCCGATCACTTTAAATTTTGTACATGATAAACAATCGGCTCTGCGATAAAATTTGAGTTCTTTCAAAGTTTGGTCAATTCTTATCTCCGATAAAAATTTCCTTTTCTTGCTTAATAGTTTTTTAATTATATTTGTATCGATCAAATAATCTGAATTTTCACTCTCAGGCAATAAATATTTTAACGACAAATAGTTCTATGAAAATTTTGGTCCTTCACGTATTTTATTTATATGGAAAGTTGAAGAAGAAGTTGAAGATTTCATCAATTTGATCAAAACTTAATTTCCAACGTGATCAAATCGTGATCGATATCGGCAATTCTGATACCGTCTTGGAAATCGCACACACGATGCAACATTTTCATGGATTAGCCCAATGTCATTACTCTGTGAATGACATTGTTATAAACAGAGTTTCGTCGAAGATGATTCTCGTTCTTGGCTCCATCAGAGAAGATCATTGATCGATTTCTTCCTTCCAGTTGGAAACAAAAATCGAACCGAAGAATTAACACCCGACTTCTCACAAGAACTTCAGTTCCAGTAAAGATGAATAACAAAGTCTTCTTACTTAAAAAATAAATTTATTCTTCCTTCAAAGAATCGCCTCAACTCGCCACTTACCACTCGCGTGCAAGATATAAATTTGAGTCTCGTTCAAGTGTTCCATCAACTCCATCGGAGACGAGCGAAATATAAATCTTATTACAAAGTTTATTTCTAATATCGATTCGTAGAACCTGCTCAAAATATTACGATCCGAAATATATTTACTGATATAAAATACTTTTCTTCCAAATAATAATCTCTCTTTAAAATCGTTCCTCACTTGATCGATCACGATTAAAATCCTATCACCGACGAAACTTCACCATCACACTTTTTTCTTTCACGACCGATAAAATTTCCATCCATGGCTCGAGAGACCGATAATTACCCGTGGATCCCCGCTACCCATGGGTAGAACGAGATTCGGATCAACGGAGTTTTCGAGGCGGAGGATACGCCACGGCACGTGCGCGATCGTGCACCGCGGCGGTTCTCCAAACAAGAGAGACAGAGATAGATAGATATATATATGTACAGAGAGAGAGAGAAAGAGAGAGAGAGGAACGGATCGATGGCTTCGATCGCGATCTACGGTATTTCGGCCACGTGAAACGAGAAACGAAGAGGAAACGGTATAACGTTACGCGGAAACACGTAGACGGACGGATGGGTCGACGACTAGTCACCACCCACAACTCGCCAGTGACTGATTCCACCATAGCCGCATAATGTGCCGCTGTGCTATACCCCGGTAAGGACTATCACTTCTCCCACCAGAGAGCCCACGGAACACAGCCACTGTGTAAAGCATGACTTTTAACCGGGATGCATTCGTCCTCGTTCAACACGTTACACTGCTCGTGAGGAGGAGGACAGGAACAGGATCGGGATTACACTGCTCGGTGACGGTGGAGGATCAACAGGAGGAATCCGATTCGTGGCCGAAGATCGAATGGATTTCGTGGGTTTTGTCCCAAAGAGTGTATTAAGGGAATTGCGATTTTTTTCGCAAAGAGATTTTAGATTATCTCTTTCTCTTTTATTTTTTTACGAGAGGATCTATAATTCTTGTCAATTTGATTTTTTTGTTTTGTGAGAGAAAGTAGATCTTGCGATTCTTTCTTTAAATTCCTTACTTTTGAAAGGGACACAATTTTCTTTTTTCTCAAAGGTTTGGAATAGAATTTTTGTTTTATCGAATTTTTTATTTTATTTAAAATGGAGATTTTTTTTTTTCTATGTACTTTTCTTCTAAGCAGAAATTTCTTTGATGTTTGTGATTCTTTAAATTCTTTTTCTTTCTAAAACATGTAAAATTTTTATACATTCTTCGAAAATTGAGGATTTTTGAGCAATTTTTTATAGAATTTATTGCACAAAGTAATTTTCAACAAATCAGGGATGTGTATGATCTTTTAATTTGAGATTTTTCATTAAATTTTCATGTAAACTTTTGTTCGAACTTTGATACAAAAGTTTCTTTTATATCAATTTATTATATTAAATTTTGATGAATATTGATATCGAATTTATTTAAAAAAAAAATAGTATCATAAAATTTAATTAAAAAAGCATTGCTTTTATTAATAAATGGAAATTTAATTTCCTTTTCCAATCTAAAAGAAACGATAACAACATGTTAATCGAAAATTTACTTTATCTATTGTGTTACCTATTAGACAGATGAAACGACTTATTAGATTAAAATGAGACAAACTAATGAGAGCCATCGAAGGAAGTAAGTTATTACATCGAATCGTTGGTGTAGTTATCGTTTCAAATAATGTATATTTTATGTAATAGACATTTATATAATATGTGTATTATTCTTTATATGATGATTTAAGCAGTATTATATTTTTATTTTCTTTATATAATACTTCCTTTTATCAAGAAACATAACAAACTTAATATAAATATAAATAAATCACAATATGAAATTCTTTTTATTAAAACATTTATCATTTGTAATGATTTCTTAAGTGATTCTTTTCGTGCAAAAGATTTTTAATATAATAAAATTACTCTCACTCAAAGATTTTATAATAAATATTACAAGAATTAAAAATGCTAAATGTTTATTAAAGAAATGTTTAAAAAAAGAATTATAAGATCATTAAAATTTCTAAGGATTCCAGAAAAAAAAAATTTAAGATTGTTATTATAATAATACTTGTTTTAAATAACTATAATATTATTAATACGTTATACTATAATAATAAATATAATTCTAAATATTATTATTATTAATAAAATTCTACTTATATTACATCGTACCCCTTTCATCTTTAAATATTTGCTACTTCGATTAAGAACAAGCTTATCTCTTAATCGTTTATAGGCGATTAACGTGCAAATTCTATTTCAAGGAGCCATCCACCAAGATATCGTATAACATTCAAGAATCGTACAACGTACATTTACAAGGTAAAAGTATGCAACGCTTACGATAACAAAATGTTTCTGACGCGATGTCGCAATCGCTGTGTAAAGGAATATTAGCGGACATCGACAACTCAGAAGTCACCTACCATTGTTAGACATCGTAATCTGGCTCATTGTCACCACTATATCGTTTCTTGGAATCGTGTTAATCGAGAACTTAAAACTTAAAACTTGTCTGGTTTATAATATACGATTAGTAAAATATTATACGTCGTTATACATATATATTATGATATCCATAACAAAATTTCACTGCAAAATATTTTTTATTTATTTTTTTTATTTGTCTTTACTGTTTGAGTAAAAAAAGAGCAAAAAAATTTGATTAATAATATTTGATTAATTGAATAATATATAAAAATATTTGAAAAATTATTTTAAAAGTTTTTATATAGTTAAAAAACTTAATGCTATTAAATGAATTAAGTATAAAAGATAACATGAACGTTTGAATGGCAAATTTGATTATATTTATATTTAAAAATGAAAATTTTGAATTAAAATTTAAAAAATTTGATTAATTTAAAAAAAATATATAAAATAATTTAAATAATTTAATAGTTTAATAACATTTAATTGTTGTAATGATAATAAATAAAAAAACAATAATTTTAAAACTTACCCAACATGTGACATACTTGCACCACGCTTCTGCGTCATCTTGGTCGGGTCACTCCCTGAAAAAATTATAAATAGTAAAGATCAGGTTATAGAATTTAATATTTATAAAAACTTCTAATACTTGTTATTATCAAACATAATAAATTGAATATAATAAATATGATAATTCCATTGCTATATGAATATATTGAAAACATATTTATATATTCATTATAAATATTATTAAACATGTTTGTTATTTTCTGTTTTGACACTCTATCATTAAAATGAATTATAGTTATCATATTCATATAATATCTATAAATTTCAATATTATATTCAACATAAATTAAAAGAATTGTAAAAACTTTCATTTCTTTTTAATTATATTTATTTTTTACATCAAAACTGTACATGTAACTTTATACATACTCTACTAAATCAAAATCATTACTTAAACATAGAATCAAGGAAATAGGAGTTCATGCTACATTAAAGCAATGAATTTATATGTTAAATACGATAAGTCACATAGAAAATAATTTACATTTTATGATAGAAAAGCGTCCTACTTAAGGAAAGATACAATGTTCTAAAATTTGTTCGAAAATCACTTGTTTAAAATTTTCTAAAATCTTTCAAACTTGAAAACTTGTTTTTGTTCACAAAAGAAAATAAATTTTTTAAAAATTTTTAGTAAAATAGCACATATACATTAAATTGATTAAAATGAGAAAATACTTTCAATGTCAAACAACTTCGATACATACCTGGTATGGAATGGGCGATCGTGGATACAGTAAACATTCGGTTAAGAAATGTCGTTTGAGAACAATAATTGAGTCTATTAATACTTATCGACACTAAGTGAGTAAATTGAAACGGTAATTAATTGGAAAATATCTTTTTAAACGTTAATTACCGAAATGTTGTACAATTAAAGTGGTCTTAGTGGCGCCACCTACGAGCATTTTTATTGCATCATCGAATATGTTGTTGAAACATAGTATCGAAAGTCGGTTTTAAAATCTATGACGGATATTACCAACTGTTTTTTACGCGACAATTTAATAAAACGAAACAAAATGTAATCAGAAGATTATAATTGAATATAGTTATACGTATATTAAATTCATAGAATAATTTTTTTTAAATTTATTTAAATATTTTATAAATAATAATTATAATATAAAATTTAATAAAAATAAATAAATTATTTTGTATATGAAATATATTTGTTAATTGATTATTATGAAAATTGTACATGTTAAAATATTATTATTAAATAACGATTCTTATTAAGTATTATGATAAAAAGTTTATTATAATAAATATTGATATTTAGAAATATTATTATATATAAATATTTAATAATATCTATCATCAATTGCATCGCTCTCATGCGAACGGTTTAGTGTAATTCGAAATAAGACGCCGTAGCGCCGGTATACCTGTATCTAGCCTGTATCTACTACGCAACTTCCGCTAACTCGCTGCTGAGCAAAATGGACGCCTTTGTGTCTGTTTTCCTCGTATTCATACTATAAATACTGTTTTCCCCGCGATGCACCACCTTTGACATGGCGATGTTTACACGGTACCGTGAAAAATGTAAGTGAAAATCGTGCTGTGCCGCAAATCAAAGTGCATTCCTCGGTGATCGACGAGAAAACGCATCCAACCAAATAGGCCAGAACACGGATGACAATTGAGTGAATATCTTTCACGACGAAAACTTTTTCGAACAAACTCGCACGAACGGGGTCGCTATTTTGGTAGACGTGTAAATATCGACGGTTTATACGCGTCGAACGACACGGGGATCTTGGATATCGATACACCTCCCGCCAAAATTCCATTCACTGCTTGCATTCTGCAGTATAAATAATCGTTGTACATAACTAGGTAAGGCAATTGACACAAAACCTTAACCGAACTTTGTTTTCGTTTATTAAATGACATACAATCATCGCAGTTATCATCATTGACTTTAATAATTCTCTTATTTAGCGGAATTGTGTTCATTTGGGAGGTTTCCAGCCTGTAGCATCCTCCTTAAAGCCATGTTATCATATGTATAATGTTGGATGGTATATACTCGACAACTGGAGGTAATAATAACAATATTGTGTGATGCTAGTGATTTAATCATTGAATGTTAAATAAATATTTTCTGTAAACTTCTTTGAGTGACACAAATAATCAAAATCATTGAAAGAAATATGGTTTGTATAGAAAAAAAATGACATTTTAATTTTATATTCGTTGTGACATTCGTGGAACGGTTTTTATTGGAATCTTATGAAGATATTTTTTAATGTACTCCATTTAATGTGTTAGTGATATTATTGAGGATATTTGTGAAAAATATTAAAATAATTTTTTTAAATAATTGCTAATAATTGCAAATGATTTAATAATATTTTTATTATATTATTTTTATTGTATATCTATGTATATGTATACATGTACACATATATATATAGATATACATATATATATATAGATATATATATATATATATATAACTACAGTATATTATAATTTTTATAATTGCTATGAATGAAATTATATTATGCAGTATATATAATAGCAATATATTGTAATTTTATAAAATTTGGAACAATATCTTCTTAAATTTTTTAAAATTTTTATTTAAAAAATTATTTGGAGTTACTCTAACCTTTATAAAGAGATTATTAGTTTTTTGTTGATATTTGTCATATTTATATACATTAATATATAATGCAATAATAATATTATATTCTTTATTTAAGCTGGTTTTTTTATCAGTTTTATAAAATATAAAGTTTATAAAATATATTTATCTTAAATTAATCATCTATCATAAAACTATGTCACTAACTTTTGACATTACATAAATGTGTACTAATTTTATTTTAAATAATGAACTTTTTAATAATAATATATATTTTAATAATATATATTTAAAAAATTAAAATATTAATAATTTTTTATTTATTATTTATAAATAAATATTAAAATAATCTCTCAATATCTTTCAATAGAATTTTAAATTTTATGCACATAAGATATGAAAAATTAATAGTTTGAATGTCATATTTGTTATTATATTTGTTTCAGATCAAAAAATTAATTCTAAAAATGGACCGTTTATTGGAGGATCCACGTGCTTCATCAAAATTTGGTTGATAATTTCTAGTGCATCATGGGAACTTAAAAGAGACATTGTTAAGTTCCCAATATATGCCTTAGTGGTAGTGTTCTTTAACAAGCGTTAGATACAATTCTGTTCATCAGTGAAATATATCCTATGTCGGAATGCCTTGAAAATACGAGTGTAGAGATTTTAACAATGATTTCTTTAAGCATTCGTGGTAACAGTGCATTTAGATATGTTCTGTTGATTTATATTTATCATATACTGTGAATAAGACTTTTTATAATATGTCAGTGCAGTGTTTGTTACGTTGGATAATTCTATGAACCTCAGAGTACATGTAAGGATACTGGACCTAATTTTAATAATATTTTTTGTCCAGGCTGTAATGCCAGAACAAGTCAAATTCAAGATGAACGGGGTTATACCGAGTGTGCCAATCACAACTCTCGCTGGTATTGCGAGTCTTACTGACTTGTTACCTGAAATGCCCCTGCCAACACCGCTGCCTCAGACTTTAACTAACAAGTCCCTTTTATTTCATCCAAGAGTGGCAGAGGAAGCACAAATATTACTAAGTGTTCGAAATGAAAACTTAGTGCCCCAATTAATACTATCTTTATCTCAAACCTCATCTGATCATATTGAATTAAAAGATAATTATGCAAATACAGAACAGCCTATGGAAACCGAGCAAAATACTCCTGAATTACTTAAGGCAATTTTGCAAATAAATCCGCATGTGTTTAAGGGGCCTCAATATAATTCACCAAGAAATTGGACCCAAGGCACACCTATGATGCACACCAATCAATCATCCGCTAATTATGGACGATTTTCACCATCCTATTCAAGTTCTTCAGGGTCAAGACAAACTCCTCAAGGTAGTCCAGCTCATCCTGCTGCTGCTAGAACAGTACTACCACCGCCTACTGGTATAAATCCTCTACCCAATATGACCCCACAACCAAATATGTATTCTCCGGCACATATGAGTTCACCTGGTACGCCGCTAACAACTCTTGGTAACGTAACACCTCAACACCATAATATGGCTGGTATGACACCTCAACATAATATGCATATGGCATCTCCTATGCGTGCTAATATACCTTTACAACAACATCAACCTGTTAATATTCAGCAAAATATGTATGATCCTATGATGAATCAACAAGTGCATCATCCATTAGGAAATCATCAACCAATGGAGATGGAAAGTACAGTACAAGAAAATCAACAATTTTTACTTGATCCAGTAACAGGTCTTCCTGACATCGATATACCGATTGAAAATATCGAAGCGAAACAAAGTATAGATAATGCGACGCAACATCTTTTATCTGCAACGCAAACCACATCTTATCCAAGTATGGATACCAGTCCTATGATCAATCCGTTGAATACTACGCCAACAACGATGATACAACATCAGCAAAACAATAATTCAGAAAAAGGAATGAAAATGCCTGCTCCTTTGCCAGAGAAATTAAAAGAACCGATTGTCATGTTAGATAGATTATCTTTAGCAGATCAAGCTTTAATGCAGAAGAGTATAGCCGCATTTGCTGAAAAGTCTCCAAGTCGAGCTGCAAAAATGGGGATTTCTAATCGCGAGGATGTAAAGTCCGAGTCAGAAAGCGAGGAAGAAATAGGTAAAAATAACAAATATTTCAAAGCGCGTGCAAAAGAACGCCAAGTCCAAAGAGAAAAAGAAAAAGCTGAGAGGAAAAAAAGTGAAGATAAAAGTCGCAGACGAAGAAGGGTATTGGACGACGACGAGGAAGATGATAAAAAGGAACCTCTTACACCCTCGAAACCAAAAATCAGAAAAATTGAAAAGAAACTCGTTCCTGTTTTAGCTAAACTCAGTGTGGAAGAATTAATGGAAACCAATACGTATCAACGTTTTAACACAACTATAGAAACGATATTCGAAAATACAGAAGATGTAGCAACCAATGCTGAATTAGAAGATGATGGTGATGTGCCTCCAGAATTGTTAATTCCTAAATATCAATTACATGATTTATGTACAGAAGCAGCCAAGCTGAAGGCATTAGGAGCAATGGAATCGATTCCAGCAGATAGATTGGTTAGATTATTAAACATTTTAGAGAAGAATATTCGGGACGGAGCTAAAGTATCTCCGCTGGCGGATCCGGATGATGACGTCGATGAAAGTCGATTATGGACGCAATTAGCTATGGAAAGAGTACAGCGTGCAGTAGATGCCTCTTTAATTGCATTACACATTATGACGTCCAGTAATATGCCAAAAATGGTCTACTTGGAAGATGTGATCGACAGAATAGTCCTTTTCATGAAGTTTCAGTTACAAAATACTATTTATCCTTCGTTTGATCCAGTATACAAAATAGACACGAAAAACAAGACTGACAATTATAATTCTAGTGGTCGTAAGAAAAGGGGTCATATGAAAGAAGTCCGAGAGAAAAGTATCCTTCAGGTTTATAATAAAATGCACGAATTAGTTGGTCTTCTTGCTGAATTATTGAATATTCAAGTTCTAACAGACACTAGTGTTTTACATGCCTCCACGTTAGGTGTCGCACCATTTTTTGTTGAATCTGTTAGCGATCTTCAATTGAGCGCTTTAAAACTGGTCACAGTAATATTCACTAAATACGAGAAGCATAGGAGATTATTGTTAGATGATATTTTGGCATCTATAGCTCGACTTCCTAGTAGCAAAAGAAGCCTTAGGACTTACAGGTTAAATTCTGAAGATCATATACAAATGTTAACAGCCTTGGTTTTGCAGCTAATTCAATGCGTTGTTGTATTATCGGACAATATAATCCCTCAACAGAAGAAATCACAAGATGAAGAGGAGAAGAAAGAAGAGAAAAAGACCAGTTATGTTGATGCTGATGTCTTAATCATAAATAAATACGAGACTGCTACGAGAATAGCGGGAAATTTTTTAACAGTGTTCCTGAACAAGTGCGGCAGCAAAGGTGAAGAAATTGATTACAGGCCACTGTTCGAGAATTTCGTGCAAGATTTATTGGCCACAGTTAATAAACCAGAATGGCCAGCGGCTGAGTTGCTCCTCAGTTTACTTGGAAATTTGTTAGTAGGTCATTTTTCTAACAAAAGTTCTGATATGGCGCTCAGAGTGGCCTCTATCGACTACCTAGGTGTCGTAGCAGCCAGATTAAGGAAAGATGCAGTTAGTTCTCAATGCAAATTGTCTACCATCGATCAAATCATCAAGGACATCAAAATCGAGCAGCAGAAAGATTCTGATTATGATCAGGTAAAGGATAAAGAAATAATAGGTTTAAACGAAGACGAGGAGCGGACGGTTTTTTTACAGAAGGTGCTCCTCGATTATTTGGCCGTGAATGGAACCAAGGACTCCGCCTTAGGCTATGCTCGCCATTTTTATTTGGCACAATGGTACAGAGATTGTGCCGTAGAAAAATCCAGGGTCGGTCAGACGAAGAACAGTCCAAGTAAGAAGATGCACAAGAAAAAGATAAAAAAGAAAAACAAACATCACGCTAGCGATCAGGATTCGGAATCAGAGCTGGACGAACAGGATGCAGATGAAAACGACAATAACGAACAGAAGAACTCGGAAGCATACAGAATCATAGAGGAGAAAAAGAAGTACATTATAAGTAGAATAAGGCCGTACAGCACTGGCACGAAACCGGATATACTTCAGACTTATATTGATTATAATTCGGCGGAACTAATATCGCAATATCTCGCCTCGAAAAGGCCGTTTTCGCAGAGTTTCGATCGGTACCTGAAACAGATCCTGCACGTGCTTACAGAGTCGTCTATCGCGATCAGGACGAAGGCTATGAAATGCCTAACGATGATCGTTGAAGCGGATCCGAGTGTGTTGGCGCGGGTAGATATGCAATTGGGCGTGAAACATTCGTTTTTAGATCATGCGACGTCGGTTCGCGAGGCGGCTGTTGATCTAGTAGGAAAATTTGTACTAAGTAGGCCCGAATTAATAGATAAATACTATGATATGCTGTCGGCTAGAATTCTAGATACTGGCGTTAGCGTACGTAAGCGCGTGATCAAAATTCTAAAGGATATCTGTATGGAGTGTCCTGACTTTCCTAAAATTCCTGAAATCTGCGTAAAGATGATCAGGCGGGTGAATGACGAAGAAGGTATTAGAAAATTGGTAATGGAAGTATTTCAGAATATGTGGTTCACACCTGTCAGGGAACGCCCCACATTGGATTCCGAATCGTTACTGAGAAAAGTGATGAACATCACGGACGTTGTGGCAGCTAGTAAAGATATGGGTTTGGAATGGTTCGAACAGCTGCTGGTTAGCTTGTTCAAGCCCAAAGAGGACAAAGACGATAGTACAAAGATGCAAACCGAGCCCCCAAAGGCATTATTAACGGCGTGTAAACAGATTGTTGATTGCTTGATAGAGAACGTTCTTCGATTGGAAGAGACGAATTTGGAAGAATCTGAGAAGACGGAGAAAAAGGGATCCTCTCAAAGATTAGTCGCTTGCTTGACAACCTTATATCTGTTTGCGAAAATACGGCCACAATTGCTAGTCAATCACGCGATTACGTTACAGCCTTATCTAAGCTTGAAATGTCAAACTCAGGGTGATTATCAGATCATCAGTAGCGTAGCACACACATTGGAATTGGTCGTACCATTGATGGAACATCCTAGTGAGACTTTTTTAGCACAGTTGGAAGAAGATTCTGTAAAATTGATCCTGCAACACGATAGATCGGTTGTGGCTAGCTGTTTGTCCTGTTTAGGCTCTATAGTGAACAACGTAACCAGGAATTTTAAATTAATACGAGACTGTTTTAAAAAATATTATGGACATCTGACTGAGTACAAATCCTTTTACGAGAAAGATCCTACAAATCCTATGCTTTTAAAATATCGACCATTTGTCAGGAGAGCATTGTTCACTGTTGGCTTGCTGCTGCGACACTTTAATTTTACTGATCCAGAAGTGATCGAGGGACTAGCAGAGAATATAAAGGATCAGGTATTTGAAACGTTGAACTATTTCGTACATCTGGATAACGATGATATTCGACACTTTACTTTATCTGCAATTGGATCTTTATGTATTCGTCATTATGAATTCATGTTACTTCCTGAGTTAAAAGAATTGTATCATCATTTGCTTACATCAGAGAATGCCTTAGTTCATATGAGGATTCAAGTATTGAACAATATCGAGGTATATTTGTTGGAAGAAGATAAGAGAATGATCAAACAGGACATGGAATGGGCGAAGATGTCCAAACAAGAAAACTTAAAGGAAATGGGAGATGTTTCATCAGGAATGGCTAGTACTGTGATTCAGTTATATGTGAAAGAGATTTTAGAATCTTTTTTGCATGCAAACATCAGTGTACGTCACGCAGCATTGAAAGTGATCCAATTGATTCTAGCTCAAGGTTTGGTCCATCCGGTTCAAATAGTTCCCTATCTGATCTGTATGAGCACAGACTGCGAAAAAGTAGTCAGTCATAGCGCGGATAAGCAACTTCAAGATATCGAGAAGAAATATCCTGGCTTTATTCATATGAAATCCCAATTAGGTATCAAGCTTAGCTATCGGCTGCAGAAGATTCTACAAACTGATATCACGGTGAGAGGAATGAGGGTCAAAGATGGTGAATTTCCTGGTGCGTTAAATGGTTTCCTTTATACTATCTTGAGGAACACGAAACAACAAAGAAGAGCCATAGTATTGTCTTTCTTAAAACAGTTTGACGAATCTGCGAAAACTAGTTTATCACAGATGCTCTACTTGGCCGACAATCTCGCTTACTTTACATATCAAGTGCAAGACGAGCCATTGTTTATCATTCATCATATTGATATTATTATTTCCATGTCCGGTACAAATCTTGTGCAGTCATTTAAGGAGGCATTACTACCAAAAGAAGGGAATAGTCAACCACAGCAGCATCAGCATCAGCATCAACAGCAGCAGCAACAACAACAACAGCATCCGCAGCATCAGCAGCAACAACAACATCATCATCATCTTCACCAACAACAACAGTACCATCAGCAACATCATCAACAAATTCATACATCTCTGGGACCGGATGGACAACCACGACCAGAGCAATTATTGTCAGTATTGGAAGATGAAGAGGATGATGAAGAGGATGAGGAATCGTTACTGGCAAGGTTACCAGGAGATACCACGTTGCTGAGGGATTATATCACCGCCAGCCAAGGTTTTTTGTTGCTGCTCACTTTAAGGCAACACTTGAAAGATCTGTACGGTTTTTCTGACCAAAAAATTGGCCAATACTCGCCGACAGAAGCAGCGAAAGTGTACGAGAAAGCTGTGAACCGTAAGAGTAACTTGCTGTTCAAACCAAAGGCTACCCTGCAAAGATTAAGGGAAGGCGTAAGTAATGTCGAACTTGATGCCGAGGGCAGGAAAAAATTAGTGAAGGAATATTTGGATTTCAAGCAATTGATGTTAAAATTTGATCTGGAAGAACCGGAGGAAGATGGAAACGAGGGTGACACGAGTGGCGGAGGTAGCAAACAATCAATAGATGTTTCTAACAAAATGTCTGAATCGGACAATAAAATGGAAATCAGTGTGACGACCAATCCCCAGATGGTAAATCAATATCAAGCCAATTTGAACTCGTCGATCGAGCATCCGAACAATTCGATAAACTCGATGCCTACTGGTGGTTCCATTCCGGTCACCATGCCTGTCCACAGATCACCGCCAGTTGCTGTGAACGCGGCGCCAGCATCGCAAATTGCATCACCACGTGTGCCCAAGCTGACGATACACGCGCATCATCCGGAGGGAGTGAAGGAACATCGTAAACACCGGGCGCACAAAACGGAAAAAGTGAAAAAACATAAGAAGAAGAAGAGGAGAAGAATTTCCGATAGTAGCGAGAGCGGCGAGGACTACAGTGATCCTGACTTTTTAGTGTGAGTGCAGTGGTGTATCTCTGCGTCCGTTGTGTACATATTACATACTAATTACAAGAATTATAATAATAATACGATAATTGACGCGTGTTTCGCGTGGTTGATGTGCGTGCTGGTATGCGTGCGACGTTTTCTTGGTGCGTTTTGTGTCGCTCGTAAGTGTAGGCGTTCCGTTTTCTCTTCTGTTTTTCTTTTTTTGCGCAACGAAATTGGAACAGAAGGAAGAGAAAGAAATATGGTATAGAATATATGACACTGATGTTATAGAGAATACCAGTGCCGGACGCTCTGAAATCGCGACGGACTTTATCGATCATGGAAATGGACTAAAATTTTTAGCGAAA